ATGTATACCAGGTTATTCGTTACATTGCTGATTTATCAATTCTAAAATACGAACCACGATAATCTCACTTGTGAAACCAAATGATAACCATTTTGCGTTAACGATATTTGTCTAAAAAGAAAAAAGATTCATAAGTTTAAAATATTACTCGAATTTGCTTTCAAAGAAACAATGATGAAATATTTTTATTTGTTGATATTTTGCTCTTTGTGTTAAGCAATATGAATATTGCTGGATTCTTCTCAGTCCCATATTATGCACGTAACCTCTGGCAAGTTAAAGCTTTCACCGCCATCTATGTATTACAGCAGTTTGAATTGGATAATAATTCCTATCGTGTTTTGAATATTGCAAGTCATGATAGTTTTTTAATGGAAAGTTAAAAATCGTAAATTGCAACCGCGTGTCAATTATCGGTTTTTCGAATATCTATGGGAACTTGAAAATATAAATATCATTCAATTGTTCAAAACGTATTTGTTTTTATAATATATCTTATTTTACATACTCAAATAACGATTTATTTAAATGCGTTTCTCAATTGCATCTATATGTTGGAGAATGGTATAGAAATGCAAATTTTGTATTACAAAACCAGTACAAAAAGCGTTATATTTTAGTTTTGTTTTTCTTTGATAGAATATCACGAAGTCACGCTGCAAAAATTTGTCAGTTTTGTAGTTACCAGAAAAAATAATTGCAAATATATTATTGTAACGAATTACGACAGTTTTAACTTCTTCATCTATCTTTAGATCAATGGGAAACAATCCTCATTTGAACAATTTGATGCATATTATATTCTATTTTCGTTGTTCAAATTATATAATATAGTGTTTTCATGACGAGTTTATTTGTCTTTCACGGGATAATATATGGCGACGGCTCACGGTGATCGAAATAGACCAGACTCGCAAACGCCAATTTTAAGTTTAAAGCTTTTGGTCGTTAAGGAGATCAGCACTGTGGGTCCGTTTCTACATTAAAATTTCTCATTGGTACGACCCAACTATCGTTTCAATTTATGTTTATTTATTCACGCAATGAGTTTGTCAAGTAGAAGTTCAACAACAACGATCGCACGGTTTTATGTAACCGTGGATTTCATTGCTGTGGTATCTGTTTTGTTTGAACAATGCCGCCATTTTCTCGCATGCGCTCACAATAAATGAAACCCATTCTGATAAAATGTGGAAATTTTCGAGCAACGGGTTTCAGATCTTTTGAAGCAACGATGACAAAAGTAGTACTATATTTTATCGATAACTTTCTTCAACTCTTGGTTAGGTAATTCTAAAAAGTAAAAAAAAGTAAGTAAAAGATATTATGTAAACAAGGCTACAGTCATTATCGACATCATGATGATAAACAAATATATTTTGTTTATTTAGACAGATTATATAACTTTTACTATAATTTCATTTTAATGACATGTTTATTTACAAATCTCTCTTTATCATATCACGACTGATGATACTTGCAATAATATCCCTATATCGTCGTAATAATAAAATGCCTCTCCTTCAAATAAAAGTTCATCACTCCATCGGAATTCAATAAGTTCACCTTGATATTTTCATGCTCCAATATAAAATCATCTATTCTTAGATATTTTGTTTGTGAGCCTTTTTTAAATCAAATATAGATTCTATATATACGTGTCACGAAATAAGTTTCCTTGGTTTTTCAGGTAAAAAAATACGCTGGGACAAGGTATTATAAATAGGGAAAACCGTTTTTATGTAACGATTTTAATTCTCTCGTTCGTAAGTATAAAGGTTAACTTGACAACGATTGAATGGTGGTATTTGATTGTTTAGATTAGTACAAATTTCGGTGATTAAGACACAGAAAATGGAACCCAATGATCACATAGTAAATCATTGCGCCAAAATAAAAAGACATCAACATCGTGACTGTTCGCCTAAATAAGCAGTGTTTTCATCCATTATCTATGAAACCTATACAAATATTCATCTACGCTGCAATGGAAACGATATTATTTTTGTATGCAAAATGTCTTCGAAGTTCATGTAAGTACAGTGTTATCATCAAAATGTAGCAAAATACACACATTCCACAATGCTCACTAGAAAACCTAGTGATGAATAAACTTAAAGTTAATAAACTAATTGTATTTTACTAAAAGATCAACCAATTCAAACGAACCCAATGTACTACGAAATATGATTTCAATTTCAAGCCGGTACAGAAAAAAATGCTTCAAATGTGATGCAGTCGTTAGAAAAACGATTTCAATGCCTAATTCTAAAATATATTAATTGAAATAAGAAATAGATTTATTTCATTTTCCATAGTTATTCCTCTGTAATGAAGACGTGTCCTTCCATTTTCGTTTGGCCAATCAAGGCCAAGCTACATCAACGCACAACCAGAACTTATGTAAGTCAACTCTGACGTCATAATCATCCATAAATATTCTTCAACGACATTTGACAACTGAAATTAGGCAATTATGGGTTTATGTAAAAGTACGCAATCTCGTGAATGTTTAGATTTACCGCGAGTTGCGAGTGTTTACAAGAAATTGAACTAATGAACCTTAATCGTGACGAAAGCTACGCGAATCTCTAATAATGCGGATTATGTGATTTTAATTATAATATCATCCTTGCGTTTGATTTGACATATTACTTATAAACATATAAACGTCATGTAGGTTAACCCGCTCAAAAGCAACTATTAAGGATTCATTGCCAGCCAAACCCAATGAAAACATCCGATTTGGGCGTTGTTTTTATCCTATCAGTTCTGAATCCGGCCATTGGGTTGTGCGACATTTATCATAAATCTGACCAAGACAGAAAATTTATGAGTCATTCATAAAATCGGTTTCCGGAATCTTTGAATTTAAAATACACCCCCACTCTCGAACTGTATAATGGTATATCAAACGCTATTATTGAGTAGTACTCATCATTGCGGGTAACACAGATTCGAGATTTCTGCCTCGCAAACTGTTTACTTCACTGATATCACCATCCTTGTCGACTTAGTCTGTTAAATATATTGAATAAGCCGAATCAAAGTTATTTGGTATTCCTATCCACAAGTCTCAGTATCCGTAAAGCACAATTGCATATAGTCTAGTAGAGCGTTGCGATGAAGTATTCTCACCAAGTTTGTGAACCCATCAGAATATCCCATGAGGTGGAGAATATGAGGAGGAACAAGGAGGCATGAAAACGCATTGATGTTAAGAAACGGATAGACGAAGAAAAGATGGTGCAATGCATCAGCTAGGTCACATGGCATATTCAAACTTTTTACTTCAGTCATTGTCAGGGGATATGGCCTAATACAACTTCAATGCACCATATCAAATAAAACCTGTTGAATTCTCCAGCTTCTGCGTAGTATAGTTTCTGCCTAATTCTAAAATATATTGATTAAAATAAGAAATAGATTTATTTCATTTTCCATAGGTATTACTTTGTAATGAAGACGTGTTCTTCAATTTTTCGTTTGGCCAATCAAGATCAAGCTACATCAACGCACAACCAGAACTTGTGTGAGTCAATTCTGACGTCATAATCATCCATTAAATATTCTTCAACGACACGCTGTAACGCTTTTGACAAAAAATCGTACATGACGTCAAAATCTGAGTTCAGTTGATCATACTTTTGACGTCGAAACGAAAACCCTACACATACTAAGTAAATATGAATTCTACTTTCCTGGACAGTGGGAAAATCAGTGCAAAATTTGTATATGGAAAAATATTGAATTCACGGAACAGCAAATGTTGATACATGGTTTCCGACATATCGATGTAATAATCATATCACTAACTCTTATCAATTTAATTTAATGATATTTTACTTTCAGTTCTTATTATGTTATAGATTATGATTTATATTACGACTAAGGTACCAAAAAACTCTATGAAGTTCACTCTACACAGATGTCAAATTCATCAACGATGTCTCATAAATAAACAGATAAATTGTGTTATAATTGGCGAAACGCTTACTTGCTTTAACATAAATATTATCCGAAAAGGACTTTTTTTCAGTCAAATAAGTTCAATCATCAATTTTGTTTCAGGAAAGTTCGATCAAACAAAGTCACAGCCACTGTCTTCTCTACGCAAAAAAAATATGGATGAAATGGGTATTTTCTCAAGTTGAATAAAGCGGTGAAAAAATGAATTTAGGAAGCAGCGAATTATATTTGAATGGAAAACGAGTAAAAACTAAATGTTGCTCTTTCGCTTCATAATATCATAAACAAAATTTTCACCAAAATTATATAACTTGAGACAATTAACACAGTGTATTCCATATCCATCCCTGTCAGTTCAATGGAATAAAGTTTTTCATATGGGCTATTAACTATTCTATAGGCAGCAACGTTCATTCAGCAACGCATAATTTTTTCCATGTAAGACCATCAGTAAGATGACTAGTTCAGGTCACTTGTATATTTTCTTTGTTCACAGATAGACATAAATGATGAAAACTTGTCCAAAATTGTTATAGCGACTTTATATCAACAATGACTTTGTCAATCTTAACTTTGTGTTGTTGGTACAAGAGATCTAACCTCTTAATACGTTTTATAATATATATATTAAGGCGTGTTTATCCATTAAACTATAAATAGACAAATGATAGATGGTAAAGATGCCATTGCTAGATTAAACCAAGAACGAAGTCATTCATTTTTAAACAATCAAATCAGATAACAGTTATTGAAACGAGTATCCATACAGTGTCAGATGTTCATCTTACGTAACATTTTTTTGTGTATTCAGATTATATAAGTATAATTTAGAAGACACAATGTAAGCAACGCGGTGTTATTGCTACCGATACTAACTTTCGTATAAACATACGAAAGGTCCCGACCTATCCATAAAAGCGTTTGCCGCTGTTTATACATAAACAGAGTTTGCAACGCCCACTGGATTGCTATGACAAATCCCCGAAATCAACTGTCATTTGTAACAGACGCATGAATCACTGAATAAATACCAATGCAGCTAACATTTAATATAAGTACCTCACATCTTTACTTTAGAAAGGTTATAATAATTGAGAAGAAAGTTTTAAACATATTAAAAACGAATGAATTGCATAAAAACTAATGGCACAATATACTAGTCAGAAATGTTTTCAAAAAGTATGGCTTCATATATAAAATGGCAAAATTTTTTTCAATTTTAGTACGTTCAAATAAATAAACGAATTCAAAGCTTCAGCATTGTTTCAGGGAAAACCTCTGAAATGTTCCCTAACAATTGTTCAAAAAATACGCTATGAACTGATATTGTATTTTTGGGCTTTGTTCTCTTCATTTTTTTTCTAAGTCTAGTTAAAGAATAATATTACATTATGTTAAAAAAAAATTTTGTTATTCAGATATATATTCAAAAAAATATAATCAGCAGTTATAAAACTTCCAAAAGTGTCTCAAACTCATAAAGGGCTCATTTTTATCTACATATAACTATTCTACGTCAATGTAATTACCAGCGGGTAAGGTAAATTGCTACATCGCGCTTATTATTTTGAAAATTTCCCGCTGAAAATTGTATAATTTTATTTGCAGAAGATAGATTAAAAGCAATCGGAACATGTGTAATATTTGTGGTCAATCCAATTCGTTTGAAGAATTACAAATTAACAAAACCACATGATGCACAAAACGATTTCCTTTATTGAACTTTTGTCATCCATTCACCTTGATCTTCGTTATGTAAGACTCTGTCTGATAACATCCTTTTATGGTTATCATATTTAAATCTATTTGTCAAGGCGTCACCCAACACTGTTTGTCTGGTGTTTTTACTATTTATCTCATATCTAAATGAAATACTCAATTCGTCCCGCCTTGATGATAAAATTTATAAATATCTAGCGCTCCCGCCCAAATTTCGTGAGGCATCGATTATTGGAATATAGTAATATGAATGCTACCATAGATAAATCATTCTAATTTATTCTTGACTCAACATGGCAGCCCGTTAATCGGATTTTAATCATGTCAGATCTTAACTGCATGCCAACGTTAATGGTTGATTTAATTTTTTGAAATTCTCCCTGATTGTCTTCGGGCGTTGCATAACGAGAATCTCGCGCAATTTCCACGGAAATTATTTCATTTCCAAGTATTTCGAAAATCTTTTTTCTTCTGGATTTGTTTGTGAGTTTTATCTCCATCGCATTTCAAGACTTGGCATTCGAATGCTTCGCTCTGCAATTAAAGGAATGTAAGGTATTATGCACTTGAAATTATCAGATAACACGTGTTATCATAACAAGATTATGGGATGTTACTCACGCACCTGAAAAGAAACTTAATGTCGAATTAATCGATAATTTGCGATATCTGTCAGTCATCGTAGTATAATGCTGTGAGAACGCAAGTGAAACGTCCCGACGAGTTCACCTCCGATCGGATTACTTTCGTCCTATTTTAAATAATAGATTTTGACAAGCTAAATCTCTCTCGTTTACCACGGCATATTTCTACCTTGCCCAAATTTATTGCTGAAAATTTTTTTCGTATTATTCTCATAAAATTCGCTCAACTTACGTAACAGATAATCTGACGATCTGATCTTGTTCCATAAACACTGGAGTCGAGAAAAAATATAGATGCAACTCCGATAACGATTAAATCACGATATACAATTCTCATTTAGTTAAACGATCGGGCTAGTCGAAGTAGATCAGTCGGAACGATTCGAGTCTAAGTGATCATAAGTAGTGCTAATAGTAGAACAAAATGTCTTTGTCTAATAATAAAAAAAAACTTGTAACGACGATTGGAAAGCTTCCGCCGGGTATGCATTCATTAATGATCGCTTATTCATGAAAGACTTCCGCTCCCAAAGCTTGAATGCCGAATCTCAATTGACTATTTCCTCCCTAAAAGACAAAATGGGTTCCAAGTGCAAGGATAACAATACGATAATTACCGGGGGCACGAGCCATTATTGGGGCGGTTGGAACTTCTACAAGAAAAAGCTAATTATACAGATTAAAAGACTAAAACAACATTTCGCGCATTAATTTGTTAAAACAACATATTAGTATGTCACCTTGCATTTTAGATGACGGAGTGCAGGTCAGTAATAAGTTTTCTGTCCGATAGTTTAGATCAATTTTCATAGGTATGAATTAATGATAGACTTGCCCCGCTAATGACATGGTATTTTATCTGCGGTATGTAGATTTCTCACGAGGGGTTAGGTAGAACTGAGAGAACAAGTTCAAGTTGTTTTAAAAAATAAGTATGACAAGAAAAAAGAATCGGCTTAAATATCTATTTATTACTGAGGGATCTGAAGAGGAATTCACACTCTGTTGAATAGGAACAAGGAGTGAAGTTTGAAAAGCATTGAACGCTCTTACTTACTATAACTGAACTTGTTAATCTATTTTTCGCAGAATATTATGTCAAATTTATTAAATACAATCCCTAAAGAAAAGATGATTTGTCGAATGCAACGTAGTGCAAAAAGAAGATGTGCCGTATCGTTAGCAACGGGACACGTGAAAACCAAAACGCTAGATTTTGCACAAGCATTTCATCACTGGGAAAATTCAGTATCATTTAATCAAGGAGTGGATGCAACGAATTTTTGCAAAGGCAGTAATGTACAACTTCACAGTAGGAAGTTAAAAGGGTCTTCCAGTACCCAAAACATTTCTACAAACGTCAGAACAAGCTCATCACGGGGTTTATCAATTGTGTCAAGTTCAGCCTTATCGTATTTGAAAACAACTTTCTTCATTCTTGGTGAGTAGTTAATGTGATATGTATATATGTGTCGTCCTTGATATTCAGATGTAACATATAACATAATAGCATTGTGTATTGTGATATGCAGACGCAAACTTAATTGAATTTCAAATGTGATTTCAAAAACAAAATGGCGGGATGACAAATTGTGCAATGTGAACCTTGCACCACGCAATTTGTACGCTTCAACCCGTGACCTTAAACATATTTCTCGTACACCAATCCCTGGTTGAAACAGTGTACGCGAATAATGAAAAGTGAAACGATATGATGACATTACCTAAAAATCGTGACTAGTTAGAGAGGATTTGTCTAATCTTACAGGAGTTGCATGTTGAGATACAAAAACAAATAGATCGGATTAAGGCATAAAATTTGTTAACGCTCTTGAAATGCAGCACGAATTTAAAGTAAAATTTAATTAGTAAATAATACTGTTCGCACGAAAAGGCCGCTTCTTACGTAACATGAAATAGAAGGAAAATTGCTCGGATCATGTTAATGCTAAAAAACTTATTATACAGTACTAATAAAATATCTGTTTGTCTTATATTTGTTTCTTTATTTATAAGTCACTTTTAAATTTATTTGATTTTAACGCTGAATTCAATTTACAGTCATTCACCTTACACTTCTTCAAGCCGTCAGCTTCGCCGCATCTCATGATGGCGAAATATCTCGCTTATCGTCTACTGGGAAAAGTTATATAACTGTCGCATTCTCGAGTGATGAGAAAATCAACAAGGAGAGAAGTTACCTGCAGCAGATAGCGAGACTTTCAAGCCAAGTATCGAAGAGACAAACGCGCTCCGTGCATCAGTGTCGACCTGAAGTTCAGCAATTCTCTAACCTGGCTAATCATGCTTATCAAATGGCGGTAAATAAATTTATACATTGTGATGTTTAAAATTTACTTCGATAAAATCTTAATGTCTGAGAAATGTCGACAATGTTATCGTACGAACAAGAACAATGTGAAACTTTTAAATGCCCCGAGGAACACTATTCGAAGTTCAGCTGTGACCGTGAACTTGCACTGACCAACGTTGACGATAAATATGTTTTTAAATTAAAGTATGCGGTCGTCAAGGAACATTAGTTGCAAAACAAGTGTAAATTTCGACGATTTGCGAAATGATTATGTCAGTCAAAGAGGACGAATAAAAATTCAAATTATATAATGAAGATTAAAATGTTTATTTTTTGAACTGGAATTATTATCTGCAAAGCAATCAAAACTAAAACCATAAAAAGCATTTATCTAAAGTTTTTGATTTTTTTTCAGAGACTTGGATTCGAGAAAATATTTACGAAACGGCACGCATTCAACCATTTGCTTGCAACAAGATCTTGGGAGGGTTACTGCCTTCACACACATGAACAATTGAAAGAAGTTTTTTGCGACAGCCACAGAAAAGCTGGTCTTTTCGGAAAACACACAGATGATCTGCAAGCCTCGATTCGATCAATGTCCATCCTATTACAGCAAGAGGTATGTTATACATACATATATATATACGCGACCTGCGACAAAATTTCTCAAATTCCTCTCATTTTACCAGTGTTCTAAAACGTGCATTTTTTTTTCAGATGAATTCCGTGAAACAACAGTACACGAGCTGGTCTCGAGCATCCTGTACTCATACAACGAATTCGGGCTACACAGAATTAAGGCGGAAAATTTTGAACAAACTGCATAGTATTTATATTAGCGTACAGAATTACTGCCTGGCGGACATATAATCTGTAGCACACTCTCACCTTTATTTCATCAAATAGTTCCTTCAACATATTGAAAAACTGGCTGCGCCGTTATCGATCCCGCTGTAATGTCTATGCAATACTAGCCACTTCGTTGTATAGGAGGAGATGCTAAGCACGATTGTTATGTTTATAATACAAAGTATTCTGCACTTTATTATTTGATTCATTGATTTTCATTTCGTTGTCTAACCGTACAAAATTTATTATAGTTTTATGTAACTGGTTTACATTTATAACAAATTATGTTTTTTTTCTGTCCCAAAATGTTTTTTGTGTTATTATAGTCCACTGTCTGAAATGTTTCAACTAGATAAATGTCTACTCTTGAACGTCAACACAAAATCATTTCCATCGACTATGACGCAATAAGTTCACACTTTAATAAAAAGAACAGTGACATTAAGTTTCAAAAATATATAATATATGTTGCATAACACATATTTTTACGTTTGGCTTTTCATTTTGTTCAATATTTGTTATATGACTCAATTATCAGACATTAATTTCGATACACTTGACTATATCTCATATTTATATATCATTATTATTATTCGTTCCTTAATTTATAGTGTTTTCCTTGCACGGAAATAAATGTCGACAATTTTGAATTTACCAAGTCTACATTGTGTGAGTTTGCATTCAAACGCTAGGTTTACTTAGTACGTAAAGATCTAATACAACAGACCGCCGATCTTATCAAATGAACTGAAGAAATAACCAAATAACAACAAGGTGTGTTCAAACCTATGTTTACAAAAAACGAAAACAAGAATTTTCTATTTAGTATCATAACAAATTGTCCCGGCCGACGAAGAGTTAAAAGTATAAATTGAAAACATTGATAATAAATAACCTAACCCAGGCAATTATTTTATCTCGTGGATCGAACCACATGTCATTTAGCGCAAACCACGCGAACCTATATATGAGTACGGATCACAAACTATATACAACAGCAAAGTTCAAATATGGACGTCTAGATTAACGACTTTCATTGCCTTTGACCGATGCTGTCAGCAACTTTTTTTCTGGTCTGAAAGTGGCTGTTTCAAAGTTTTTCAGTTCTCGTGGTTGTTTTTTGTTGGTACTTGCTTAAAGGTGGGTTATCACCAAACATTTTCGTTGCAAATTTAATTCTACATAATTTTTTAGAATCTTTGGTGTTTACCATCTGCATAAAGTGGGTTTCGTTTGCGAGACCCAAATTTATAAAAGGGAACCCTGTTGAAATCGAACGAAAATTAGTATGTCCCGTTGATGACGTAGTATACTAGTATACTGAGAACTCGTCGGCGTGATTTTGCATTAGGCCAAAGGCAATTATAGCCAGACCCCAGCGATCAAAAAAAGCCAAATCAAGACACAAAAAAAGCCAACAATTTTACTAAGTACAAAAGACCCATGATTTGTCAGATTTTAAGCCTTTGGCAACGTACTGATGATGATGTAGAGCCATCAGTTCATTCAGTGAGGCACACAAATAGAAAGTAAAGTTCCTATAGAACTGTAAAAAGTAAAATAAATATCAAGCGGACAGCATTATTTTACCATTCAATATATACAATACAGGGTGCCGCTTCAGTCTGTCAGTATGTAATATACCTACATGTTTCTACTTAAACTTGTGATATACCTTAAAAAATTCTCTCTATATCTGTATATCGTACCTAATTATAGAAAAAAATTTCACTTTCAAAATTTATAAACCATCAATTTTATTAAAAAATTATCTAACCCCCTGCCGCTCACAGGTGGACCACTGATATCTAATTCAGTAATTTTAGCGTAGTTAATCACATCGTTACTGCAAGTGCATAATTAAACTAAAGCTCACATAAACCATATCAGACATAATGAAATATAAATTATACAACTATTTTTTAGAAACAGAACCTAAAACTGACAAATAAAACACAAAACTATAAAAACGAAGCAATGTTTACAACCCTGCTTGAACATCTGTCTGAGCAGCTGCAGAAACTGCAACTATTTCCTATTGGGCATGGTTCAGAGTTAATGTAACAAAAAAGGAAAGCGATTCTCCAGAAAATTCTAATGTTAAGTATATAAGTACAGGTAATAGACTATTGTTCAGCTGTTACACACTAAATATTGTATTTCATATGATTTTAATAATGGACACTAGAATAGACTTTAGAAAAGCCAAAAAACCAAACGGAAATTCTGACGCCAAACGCGTTTGAAAAAAACTAAAAATGGCAAATTTGGCGTTCAAAAAGCCAATATGGCAACCCTGGCTGCCACTTGGTTGAGCAGTTGACGCGGTTATCTTGCTCGACGGTGCTTGGAGTCTCTTTTTGGACACGAAGTGGACATAACGATCGTTTCAAAATTTTGTTGTTATTGTTATTGTTTTTTGTCTCCGTCTCCATTTTTAAAAAATCGCTTTTCTCTTCGAATACTAGACCAACTGCTTTGAAATTTTCAGTGGTTGAAGATAAAATTTTTCTCCAGAAGGCTATTACTTTTTTTCGCTATGACGTCATCAAAATTATTGCCATTGGGTGGCGCTACGTGTTCATATATTTGAGCATAGCTCTCTTGTTTGCATTAACGAGCGCCTCTGGATTTTCTTGACATCCTCCGGATACTTATACGTTTCTAATATATATAGCCTATAATTCAGGGTGGTCCAAACCCAGGCCCGCAGCGTGATTATCTGTGGACCGCGTCGCCTTTGCTGAAAGATATTCGAAAAATCGCATTTGGTGTTGTTTCGTCATAAAAATACCATAAAATCTTTTCGACATCTTGTTACATAACTAATGTCACTGCTAGCTGAAGCAACTAGCGAAGTTGAATTGAGTGTGATTGGGTAGTTCAAATTGTTCACTGGCTTTCCATTTATTTGGTTGGGAATATATTCCAACGGTTATAGGAACTAAATATTAATGTTATAGCCTAAGAATATAATTCGTTCGATGTTTTGCAACCAGCCTACACAGTATTAAAAAAATGTTCTTCTAATATTTCAGAAAAATTAGTAATTACTCTCCTGTACCTTACATTTGATAAAATATCATTCAGCAGTTGTGACGAATATAATCTAAAAGGGCACCATAAAACTTGCTATCATGTGTATCCAAATTTTGAGGAATTTTGCTTTGAAAACCCCCATCGATGTTCGAGAGCACTTACATTTGCGGGAGCCCTTCCTTCGGTATGAAGAGTTTGAAATCTTAAATTAAATGTAGATATAGCTAAACTTTTGCATGTTTCAGTGATTTTTCTGGCGTATTTTTTATGATTTGTATGATTCCGAGTCTCTTCCCATCATTAAACCGCCACATTGCTCTCAAGCAAACGCGAATAGTTTTTGACCAATTTGAGCGATTTCTAGATGAAAAAGATAAGTTACAACCAGCTGAAACAATAGTCACAGATGAGGAATTAGCTTTAATCCTCAACAAGTGGTGGGATTCAAATTTTTTTTCAGCCGATTCTGTTCAAAAGACATATTTTTTTAGCAAATAAACTGATTATTTTTAATTATTTCCTAATTAACATTTCAAAATAATGGATAAGTAAGTATCATTATGTCAAAATTAGCATCGAAATTTTTGATGATGTTGAGGATTGTCTATATTGCTGTATATATATAATATATAATCGTTGATAATGAACTTAAAAACAGAAAGGTGTATGATCTACTGCTAACCGGTTCGCTGATATCATAAAATTTTGTGAGACGGTTCTATAGAACCGGTGCGGACCGTCTGAATCCCACTACTGAATAGGGGGTATATTTTACAAAATTTAAGACAAAAATCAAAGACAGAAATGCAGTACAACATAATCAGTGAGCTTATTTCTGATGATTCATCTGTCACCGGATCATCTTTAATTTATATCCTTGATAATAAGGAGTGTGGAACATTGATGAAACTGGTTTCTAAAATCACAGATATGCTTGTACAGGTAGAACTTGACTTTCGTGAATATTATTCCTTTGAGAATGTGATGGCATCCGTATCAAACTCTATCAATGTAGTGACATTATCCAAACTTTTTGGCCAAACTGATGACAATTAATCAAGATTCTTTGGAAAATGTGTGAATATTTTGTTAAAATAAGAGGTTTTCAAAAAGCTAAGACCCTGAATAAGAAATTCCAGCTTAAACACGACCAAAACATGAGTCCTAGGAAGTCACTAAAATGAACTGTACTGCTTTTTTTTATTATTGTGGCATTTTTTTAGAAGTGTCACTATTTTGTTTTCGCTTCCGCAGCTGGTCATTAGAAGTCGGACAGTTTGCCAATTGATGATTTTGATATTTTTCTTTGTGACTATTGTGTTCTCAAACTGAGCATATTGATTTAGATCTGGTACTTCGCACTTTCTACCAATTTGTCTCATATGACCAATGTATGCTTCTAATGCGTCCTGATTAATTCTTTTTGTCTGAATATAAATTCCTTGTTTTGTTTAGCAAAAATCTAACCATCTTGACTATAGCTTCTGTTCTTGAAATGAGGCCTTGGTAGATTTGATAACTTAGACATTGTTCTTCGTTTTCTCGTGGTGTTGATCCTGTCAAACTTTTTTTCCAATCGTTCAATTCTCCTGTAAAGGTGTGTTCGAGCCAATTTAATCTGTCATCATTAGGGTTTATGGATGGTCTGAGATCCTTCTTATATTTATAATTTATTCTTGGGTTCAAGTCAAACCACTTATTTATTATCCTGGCAATCCAAGCACTTCTCTCCATCTCTTCTCCCCCCTTATATGTCATCAGCTTTGAAACTGTGGCTGAAAGTATATTTGTTGCATAACAAACCCTCATTTTTGAAAAGCTCTGATTTGAAAAATGCGCCTCTGTCAGTTTGCAACAGAGGAGTTCTTCTGATGCAAAAAATTTGAAACTTTTCGAAAATGATCGCACAAAATATATTTTTCATTATATTTCAAAAATTTGCAGCCGCTGTAACTACCGGATCGAATGGTATTGGCACTTGTTTTCAAGAGATGTGGAGGGTCCATAATGAAAAAAAAATTAGCTCTGGTCTATAAATGTTAATACAGCAGCGAGGAAATTCCTGTTTCTTATTGTTCATTAGGGTAAAGATTTTACGATTACATGTTGCTCCATCAGCAACTAGTGCAGGGGTGGGCAACCCCTGGCACGCGTGCCAAACTTGGCACGCTAGCCCATTTATTCGGCACGCGAGAGAAGACTCGGAAACGAGATCATTCTCCTTCATATAAAGAGTTCCAAATTTCTGAATTATCTGATGAAATTTGGTGTTCGTTTATTCATTATCGTTTACCAAAACTGTTAATTATTTAAACTCTTTTTGTCCTTTCATGACATATGGGCTATGGCTACAAAGAAATATATTATGACGTAACAAATGAGTGATGTCTCGAGAAGGGCGCAGCGTTCATTTGTCCACATTCTTACATACCTAGTCATAATGCTCATGTTGGTTAGAGTTACCTGCTAACTCACTGTTATAATTCAATTTGGAAACAAATATTAGCGATAGCGAAGAGAATACAAGGGAGGAGTGCTGGAAACGAACTATTTCGTGATGAGGATGTCATTCCCGAAAATTTTCCATGTCTTTAAAACTTTGCAACTGCATTATTCTCCCTGTTTTCATCTACATATGCTTGCGAAAATCTGTTCTCAGTTATGAACTTTATTAGGTCTCGTGATAGAATTAGCCCAAAAGATGAAACCAGTAGTTAGTGTAAATCAAAAAATATGAACCCAAGCTAAAAATTCTATCAACGGTATTGCAGCAGCAGAAGTCTCACTGATATGGAATAAAAAAAGTAATCAAATGTATTTGTCGCACTGATGTTTTCCCGAATAGGGAATCTGTTCATACATGTTTGAGTGATTAAGAAAATATTTGATTAAAGGATTTCGTTACTGATAGCAGTTAAGAGCTAAACAAATATTCTACTTTTACCTCCTTGCATTACAGTGCCCAGGTCATTGAAAAAGCTGAACAAATGTTTCTCTGTCTTTTAGAAGTTGTTTTATTTTAGCCTCAAGATCTGTGATTCTGTTCAAAGTTAACATTAAAATGATACCAACCTAAGCATTTGTATATCTGTTTTGCTCTGCACTTTTCATTGCCGGACACTTCACAAATATCATGCCAGATTTATATATATGACAAAATACCATGATACCCTCCGATGTGTGCCAACTGGCAATAAGCTTTCTTTGGGTTCTTTTAAGACATTTATCATGATCTCAAAATATTTATATCCCTTGTTGCAGAAGCACAATATTAATTGGTAATTATAACGGCTTAGCACCATACGATGGCGATGTGCTCGTTAGGGTGATTGGAATAAATAGATCGTACAGGCACTTTATTTCTGATGACGTGGTTCTGTCTGAGTTCCTTTCAAAGTTCGAAACGATTGTCCAAAGATGTTTATTGTTGAGTCAAAATAGTAGTCAAATAATGATGAAATAGTTGTCAAACAGTAATCCGGTAAAATACAGTGCTATTACACAGGAGAGACCAATAATAACTATACGAAACAGGAAAATAGAATTATATGATGTAAATTTAAACTACGCCTACTTAATAATACCAAAAGCCCCCGATTGATTACGATACAAATTTATACGTCCTACCTCCAAGCGGCTCACGCCGAAAGAGATCCCGCCAACACCAAAATGGTCAGGGTTCAATGCCCTAAGTTACCGTTGCCAGTTTAGTTACAATAATAGCGGTCACCGTTTAGAATCATGGCCGCTACAGTAATGACATGAACACCTTGATACTTTTCGAAGTGTGTCAACCGTATAAGAATACCTATTCATATTCTGTTCTGTAGCTACGTTTTCTGCCTAATAAATACGTATTCCCAATAACCATATATATAGTAAGTATACTTTCAACGTACAATACTTTGAAACCCAAAACCGAACATGAATCGAAGAATTAAAAGCCTCAATACGGCCAATTTTGCACCCGGCTCGGCTAAAGCGTGGGCTTTTGCAGCGACGATATTCTTTCTTCATATGCAACGAACCATGGAACGGAACAACGTAAAAATGCAGGGGTATAATGAGTATGGTGGGGGCAGTTTCTACACATTGTGTTTGAGTGAATTTAGTAACATACCCCCAAAAATATTGCCTTCAACCAGATTTATGCAGCGCCTGCTATGTGTTTTAAAACAGGAAGAATGCAGTGCTGTACATGCGCAAAATACGATTCACACATATTCTATTTGAGTCGGGACAGGTCCGATATAGCATATTATTACGTACCAAATGTTTCGCCGCTGCCATCAAGGTTTAGGAATAAACGTGCCGAATATCGCGAGTCTTGACGGACAAACGATCATACAATACCTTTTTCGCTGTTCAGATAATACATGGGTACTTGGCAAGTTTTTTGAAGAATCTTCAACTCTTACGACTAAAATGTAGGCAGGCCTCAGATCTGAATTGTATTATTTGAATAAATCTTGAATATATGATGACAAACTTACAAATTGAAGGTAACATAAACAAAATATTTTGTGGCGATTTCATTGAGAATGCGCCCACAGAGCCGAGTTTATTGCTGTCGCAGAAAAAGATGTTGCTACTGTGGTTGTAGAATATAGATGAATCAGAAGACTCAAGGATTCCGGATTGGTCGTTTATTGTACGTAAACTCACAATTTATCACTTAAAACAGAATAAACAAAACATCACTAGAGAACTGAGAACACAACCGACCTCCAGTCCGACGGCCGAAGAAAAGAAGAGAGGGGATATTTTTTCTCCCACGTGTAGTGAGTGGTCGGCGTCCAAATCCGAAAAAAACAGCATTAAACAAGGGTCAACATAACTGTCCATATACATAAAATATGTATATACACACAATATAAACACGGACACTTTAGTCCGCGTCAATTGGCAGCGGAGGAATTTTTGTATGCGTGTTTACAGTTATCTGCATATTCAGTATTCATTGTTTTTTTGGTATGATCTTATTGCCAATCAGTCGATCGCGAGCTATTTTCAAAATTTCAGTCGATAGTGGTCGAAGGCAGGTTGGCCACTCCTGGCCTATACCAATACGCGATTTGCCTGATATTCTGCTTCCCGTAGAAAATGTTTCTAGAAGGAAGAGTGTTAGAGATCTAAGAGCTACAAAAAGAAGTGGTTTGCCAAATAACTATAATAAACGGATTCAATAATGTCCTAGCAACAAAATTTACAAACAGAAAATTAGTGAAAAACAATCCGCTATTTGCATCAGCAGACATCTTCTGCATAAAGAATTTGTTGACTACATGCTCAGGGTTTTAGCCTCAACAATGAGCAGAATGATGCTTGATGCTTGAATAGCGTCCGGGGATGCCATTTTCAGCATGGCAGACTTACGCCTCAAATTCACTAAAATATCACGAATACAATAGAATTTTAAACAAACAACTTACTGACCTGAATTGGAATTTTTTTCTGATTACAAATGAAGTCACAATGTCGAAGCGCTTGTTTGCTTGTACCATATTTGTATCCAGGAACTACCACAGACATATATATATAATAACTCAAATAACAATTTTATTTGGAAATTGCTCTATGGTGGGATATTACCTGATTAATGTTTCGTATTGACTAAATTTTTTTTATTTAGAGTTTTCCAGCATACATAAGGTGAAAAATATTGCAATAACGTAAGAACATAATCCAGATTTTCCTACCAAACAGCTGCTGTAGGGGACACCATTCACGAACTTTATCACATCTCTTCTTGTGATCGTATTAGGCTACTGTGTGATATACTGTATAGGTTTTATTTATGTTCGATGGTTTAGTTAATTACAACTAACATTCCACATGGCTTTCTCTATTTCTATTTTTCATCTAATATGATATTCGTTTCATCAAATTCATCTATTTCTCGTCGTCAATTTGTCTCTCCGGCAGTAATTTGTCTAGATTCCCTACGTTCAATACAATATTTATCATATAGAAAAATGAACATAAAGTATTCAGACGGTTTGACTGATATATATTTCATGTAAGATGAGTTGAGTTGATTCGAAACGAATGCGTAATCCCGTTATTAGGTTGAGTAACATATAACAACTGGTCGCCATCGTTCCTTTCATCCTATATAGACACGCCTGTAACCCCAACTGTTTAGTGTCCTATAATTCTGTCTTATATTTTGATATGTTTCCAGGAATCGCCACGCGTCATAATCCGAAAGCGACTTTATTTTAATGACGCCGTATCCGCACATCTTATAGGAGAGATTGGAACATCAGGAGAACTTCCAGAAAGGATCATGTTCCTAGAGCTTCATAGTTCGGTTTGTTTATGTTCCAAAGAAGGTAAGCAGGGGTAAATAAATCATTGAAATCATTTTATTTCATGAGGAATGTGGACATTCTATAAATGAGAATATCAGAAATGTGTATGTTATAGATATATCCAAAAATAGGATTTCCCACCTGGCACATGGGCTGTGTACAGGTTTTTTCGCTTTATTGGACACAAGGTGGACCTATGAATCGTTTTGTTTTTGTTATTTTTCTTATGAAATAATCGCTTTTCTCTTCAACTAATGGACCAATTGCTTAGAAATTTTCAGTGGGTAAAGATTACATTTTTTGCTAGAAGGCTATTACTTTTTCGTGTCCATATATTTGAGCATAGCTCTCTTGTTTCTGAATTGTATTGAGAATGAAAAAAATACTCAACCATCTGACCACAATGCGCAGAGGTAAAACAGATTCATTCAAGTTTTAGACCAATCGTCATTGAGAGCATATGAATTGGGAGCCAATGACAAAAAAAAATTCTCTAGTGGTTTATTGGTTCTATAGGGTTACCCATTGCTATATATATATATTATGTTGTGAAACAGCCAAACTGTACAACGCCGTTTTTTTCTCAATCTTTTTTTATTTTTGTAAGCAAGTGTGACATCGCATATTTATAGCACAATAAAATATCTCTATTATTTATTTAAAAAATATTTCTAACAAAGAAATTGCATATGCATGAATCCAATACATATGATTCATACAAAGCTTTACTTGAAGTCAAACAAAATATAACATATAAAATAACCCAAGCGTCCTCTACATACAAAAACACAGAATCTTGATATTAACGATCTACAATACGTTACCATCAATTCATAACATGATTTTTAACTGGGCATGCTTGGTCACTTAAGCAAGTATCTCGCTAATTAACAACCACGATAAATATCAACGCTATAAAAATTGTAATCAGAGCGCTATTCACATCAAAATTTCAAGTTTAATTTATAGTTTTACGGTATTGGCTCGAACTTGTATTTCTCGTAATCAAATTGCTTAAATGAACTAAGTATTTACAGGGCAAGATGTGAATCAGCTAACTTCTCTCTGGGGTTTCCAACCGTCCCTTATTTCAAAGGTGAGTCTTTTATTGAGAATTTCTGTCTTTGTCCTTCATCGAAGTTAGAATGGACGTAAACGGTCCTTCACTTAAAATACCGATACGAACAAAACTTTTTTAGTACGATTGTTTTTTACTGATTGGAAAATATAAACTTGACTTGATGTAAGTGTACGTCAACTTCTTACAAATGTAGATTCCGTTGTAACTCACAAAACGACTGTTACATTCAGATCGCTTTCCATATCAGCAATGAGTTATTTGGAGATAAGGTTCGAAAATTTTCAATTTTATGTCTTGTAGGGAATTCTTTTCGAAAATGCCAGAAATTTGTGGAAGTTAAAGATATAGTCAAGTTTATTTTTTTCAGTCATTGAAAAGTAGGAAATTGAGAGATATAAAAATTGAACACAGTTATACCGGGATCTAAATCACAAGTGTGTTAACTCAACACACCAACATTTGCTGAATTCTGAATGAATTTGTCTATATAAATCGAGTTTAGCTGGTAATTAACTGTTGGGTTGGGATCATATTTTAAACGATTGCAAATGGGATGTAATATATTGAACGTTGAAAGTTATATGCATCAAAACACAGTATTTTCTAGGCTATCTTCGTTCTTATCAGAATCCGACACATGTGATGCATTGTATTGTTGGCTAGTCAAATTTACCATAGCTGCATCTAACTGATCTCCCATTTCAGAGTTACCAAAATCCGTGTCAGTTTGGTCAACGGGGCCGAGAGGATCAAATGGAGCATCACCTTCCCTTTTGTTTTGGTACGGATCCGTAAATGTTTTCAATTCATAGTTACCGCCATCGCCTTCTCGATTTGAACCACGCCTGCTATATGTAAATGAAAAGGAATCCCCAGACTCCTGGATATGATTCTGTTGCATCATGTCTGCATCCATCGATTTTTCACTGCTTCTTCTTTTAGAGCGATTATTGCCATCAGTATTCATTGATTCTTCTATGTCAGTCATATGACGTGCAGGAGAAATACTTGCCAAACCATCCCGTTTCATTCGCAAAGATTCATGTTTATGAGGGCTTCAAATAAAGAGAGTCAGATTAATGTTGTATTGATTATTGAAATTTATCATTCGTGATCATAAAATCTATATTCTACAAAGTGATATTCATGCATTGCATGTTAACAATGTCGTAAGAACCTTACATTAGAGTAGTGCATTTTCGATTTTACATCACTGCTATAAAATTTCGGAATGGCATTTTATTGGTAAACTTACGTTTTTGTGCTAAAGTTGCTGTCAAAAGCTCGATTTTCAACTCCGCTTCCAATAGTCTCATTCACGTCCTCCACCGACAATTTTTTAGATTTTTTTTTCTTGTTCTTTTTTCCATCTATTTTCTTTGAAGTGGATTGATTGGGAATTGTATTCGTTTTTGCATTATTTTTGTCATTTTCTTCATTCTTTAATTAAGGGATGATAGTTTAAAGTTTTAGATTGGGTAACTGTGGCAATGAAGTAAGTTCATTTCGTTTAATAAAACGCCACGATAAATAGAATTCTTTCTGGTTTCAAAAATAGGATCAATTTGTTATATATATGCTAATTCCTTACTTCGAATTGGAAACATTAGGATCTCACCTGGTGTGCGTTTTTTAACAGGGTGCTGTATTAATAAGAATAAGCGGACACCAAATAAAAAAAAATGAAGCGACATCGTTGCGGAAATATTTAAAACTTAATTTTGCAATAAAAAAATGATATCTTAAGATGGAAACTCTGACAGCTACTACTTACACCAATTACTGTCGCCGCCATCAAATGTACAAACGTTGACCATCGATGAATCAACATTGTCACAAACTGGATCAATAGAATCACAAGGAAGAAAATAAGAAATAGAAAAGAGAGTGGTTGCAGCTGTAAAATGATAAATGTATTTAGAATTCTATAAATAAATATTTGTATTCCTATTCGTTCTTCTTATCATTCCTTTTATAACAAGTTGCAAAAAAACACAGGTAATTTAGATCTCATAAATTGGCGGGCCCGAAAGCATATCCTGATTCCAACATATCATAAATTTGAATATCTGTTCAACATTATGACTAACAAGTATCTAATTTAACTATTGTGATATCCCATCCTGTTAAAACAGTAGCAACATTATTCATGTGGTTCCTAAGTATATTAACGTTAATATATTTCCAAAATAAAGCACGTCCTACCATCTTGACCATATTCAAAAACTTCATATTAAAGTGTACTCTAAATCCCCCAGAATATCATTTTTGACAAACAATAAAATAGCAAAATCGATCAAATATTTTTCGCATGTACTCACCACGATTTCGTTTCCATTCCTGTCATTAAATGTGATGTTTATATCTTGAATTGCCAAAGTTAGTGAAAAAGTCAAAACGATCCACAAACTATTGATCAGAAAGTATGCTCCCGTCATTTTGTTTCGCAATGTAATCAAATCTGATTGAATTCTTTTCTTATCTTCCTGAAAATATTTACTCGTTCCAACGTACAAAAATGCAAACAGCATCTCAGAGATGTTTTTTTCATGGCAAAGTGGAATAAACTAAACAATCTATTTGCAATTATATTGAAGACATGCAAACCATTACTAGCATATTATTACAAACGTATTAATATTTTCTCCAAATCATATTTTTATTCTATTGTTAGTTTATTATCTATCCAACGTAGTTATTTTAACTTCTTGAATCGTTCGCATGTGACAAAAACGTATTTATGAATTCCAATCGCAAGATTACAGCTATCCGTATATATATGATACAAATGACTTTTTGACATATGGAAAAATACCAAAAATAGCTTGATGTTCTTGCCTGATAGCTGATTACTTACTGAAAATGTGTTTATTCCAGGTATAATTCTTACCTTGTCTTCTTTCAATGGCGCCAGGTATTTTTCAATCATTTGTTTCCAAAATTTATGTTCATCTTTGTCGATGAAACTAATGAATATGGGAGTTGTTGAAAAAAACGAAAACATAAAATTAATGAATAAAATTATTTTAGTATTTAAATACGAGTAAGATTATCTAGTCAATATCTCACTAATGTTTATTAAATCAAGTTGGGATTCTAGTTGAAAGATTTTGGTCTTTGTAACGGCACAAGTAATTGCTTACGTAATAGCCCCATCTTCTAGAGGTCCGTCTATAATCCAGTCAAGCCCTTCTTTTTCTTCATCTAATTGCCGTTCCTGAATAAAATCATCTAATTCCTCGTCATCATCTTCACCGCCAGAATCAACGCCAGTGATCTGAATCAAGATAATCACACTTATTTTATCATTATAGTATTGCTTGTGAAAATTGACTTCCCACTCTTCAACGTTGGTCATAAAGATTTTGAATCCGCATTTTATGGATACCGGTTTACAACCGCGTGCCCAGTTCCCCGCCAAGGGTGAAGATGTTTGTTTAAAATGAAAATAGTTACCCCGGGGAAATCGGTACTCTTGTAGTGAGTGTGCCAGGTTATGCCATGATTGTATTTCGATTTTCCATATTTCAGTTCTATTACGAGTTCGGGGACTGTCTGTGTTAGCCGAGTGAATATATTTCCAGCCCTTAGGCTTCAGTTCATTTACACAACTAGATGTAAAGTGGGCGAACAAAATTAGTTACAACCAGTGATGAGCTGTAGCCGGCACGCACCGGAACGGCGTTCCGGTTGTTGGACATTTTATTGCATTTGCGTTCCTGTTGTTGAAATAAAATTAAGTCATGGAAAGTTTTAGTTTCTCCGGTAAACGTTTTGTTACGTAATAATTCTTTTTACATTGCGGCAAACAATTAGTTAGTACAGCAGTAACATGTAGTGGATTTTCGCCGACCTTTGACCCCGTGAAAATTTGTCCTGTTACATTCTGATAATAACATTTGTATTGAATTGGTATGAATATTCTTGTAATTATAAACAGACATATTTCAGGTAATGAATTCATATTTCATTGTAGTTCTTCGGCTCTATCTTGGGACAGACAAAAATTTCTGGCAGCGTCCGCGTCGTGTTGTAAAAATATATTGCATACACGAATTAGGTGCGTTCCGGTTGTTACGATTTTTCCAGCTCATCACTGGTTACAACCAAATTGGTTCGCACACTTCTGGAGCGACCAACATTATACCCATCTATGAAAACTGCGAAAGGAATGAAATGCGTATTGTTCTTCTCATATCGTGACATGCAATGTTCTACAACTGATTAATATAATTTACCTTTCTCCTTACTCCCTGTTGTTGCTCTGCTTTCAATTCTTTTGCTAATTTTTCAGTCTTTTCATGCATTCTTGACATTTTTCTTTTTGACTCTCTTCGACGCCTCCTAACATGAAACAGTAGGGCGACGTAAAAATAAGTTGTCGATCTATTTAACTGCTTATTTCTTGCAATACCCATTTCGACGATAGCATGACATGCTATTTCATGGAATGAGATGTATGTGTAGTAGTAGTAGGATAGGAAATAAGTATATCCATGGAAATATTATTTGATCAATTGCATTATAATGGCGATTTATCTTAATTCATATGTCAGTTCGTTTCGTATAGACTTTCTTAATTTCAGTAAATCATTCTCTGTATGTTGTCCATCTTATTTGCAGAAACTTTGCCTTCAGATTTTGAAAACTCACATTGCCATTCTTAATGCAGCAGCATCGTCGATGTTTTGGTTATTATCATTCAAATATCGGAGCTGAGACACAGATATTGATCGGTTGTTTAATTTTTTCTCTAGAGCTTTGGAATCACCATCTGTAAATAGAATTAGAACTGTTTCATGAAATTAACAAAAAATGTCATACATAAAGACTAACTAACTGAACTATCGACCAACATTCTCTAAATCTGCTGGCGTTGTAGGCTTAAGATTTCAAGTTCAAACCCCACCACCTTATCTAGACTAAAATAAATTGGGTATATGCTGAAATCTAGTTTGTGCCTAGGTATGTAACGGAATGAGTTGGTTATTTACGAAGTGTTACAGATCATTAATATTAGTCATCCTAATAGTGTCAATTTAAAAAAATCAGATTACTCGAAATAGGTATCTTACCCGGTTGTCCCATAAATATACTTTTGTGTACACTGTATTTTCTAATAGCTTCTCTATCAACTCCAGTTACCGGTTGCCGTACAGTGCTTTTGCGCGCGCCTGGAACAGTCTCAACTACCGGAGTGTCTTCTTTTTTGCTCGCATTTTGCTTGGTAGTTAGACCAACGGCAGGAGTGGGATTTATGCAGAGTGCGCATTGGCACAAATTACCCAATCCACAGCTATAGTATCCTTCAGAAGTGGAAGCTGCGTCGTACACTGAAGGTCCCAATTGAAGGCTTTTTGATCTTTTTACTTTTGGTTTGTTTTTATTGGCAACCGCCTGCAATAATAAATTCGAACAAAGTTATCGCACACCAGAATGGATAATAGAATATATATATGACATGTTTATTTGAATGACATGACATTAAAGGATAGCAAGTTGAATTTTAGGCTCACTATTTCGTGTTCAGAAGTACTGTGGTTTGATCACAGTCCCAGGAGCACACTATTTTTCTGAAACAAATATTCAATATTGATAGGATGGAATTTCCATGTTTGTAAGAACAATATAAAGAAAATCTTTCAGATCGCATCAAATCTGCAAAAATAGATTTTCCAGGTAGCACCAAATCATAGTCTAGTATTCTGCTCTTTCATAACCTTTTGGAGCGTAACGCTGTCCTGAGTGCTGATCGCAATAAAGAAAGCGCTATTTTAAGAAACACTTAACTTAAATGTACCAAGAGATACCGACACACAATAAATTTTAAACTAAACATTGAAACTAAGACATGGTTTTGTTTAACACGTCAGTGAATCGTTTGACTTAGTAGGGGTCATTTTTTATTCTTCTGCTTGGGTCGAAATCCAGCAGTGCTCGTTTATAACTTACCTTGACCCTAATGTTTCCATAGATATTTGTAAAAAAAAACTTCGAACCTTCAGCGCATTTTGCGAAGCTTCAACCGAATCAGCAATATCTTTTTTTACTTCTCTTGTTCCCCACGATACATTGTTCATATTACATAAACTATAAACCATCAAGAGGATAAATGCAGATGGAACACACAGGTAGTAGAGCAAACCATGTAGTAGACACATCATTTCAGTTGGATGAATAATTCCAGTGAAAGCATAGATAAATATCATTGCCAACATAAATATTGAATTGGGATTCAACAATGCTGTAAAATAAGTTCACTCTTTTGACATATTTTACAGTTGTCATAATGCTCACGTGTTAGGTTTAAATGCCGTTTACTATTTTTCTCGCATCTAAGCAGTATTAGTATGGTTTCACTGTAAAAATTGTTACCGTCGTTCGTCTTAAAAAATACGATGACTTTGTCTACAAAATGTCAGTGAATATCTCAAAATTCCATCCATCACATAAAATTAACTTCAGTATTTTATTACCCGAATTGAAACGATCAACGAAAATTCGTTGCGTCTGTTACACATATAAAGTTGATTTGTGAAGTATATTTAAGTTCAGCTAACTCCAGGGCGATGCAGAGAGAAATTGTTAGTAGTGTATTTAAAAAACAAACTGTCGCTTTTATTTTATAATTCCAGTGACAGAAAAAAGCAATTTACGACATGGTATTTTGGTAATATTTTTCAGATTAATTTACAAGTGGTCGTAGCGTCGGGTAAAAAAATTTGAGTATATATATCACATCTAATGCACATGCTGTTGTTTACAAAACATGATCACCATAAATCTGCTTTTGTTATCATAGCATAATAGCGAACCTGAATTAAGCACTGTATTTTATGTTTATGAAATAGTACAATATCTAGTCTACTTACTTTCAGTCATTTGCCCAATAATTCCTACCAGAACAGCCATCATAACTAGAGCATAAACAATCGTTAAAATCCCCGCAACCGCTATTTGGAAGTCTTGAGATGTTGTATAACATAAGATGATGAATACAATAACAGGTATGATAGCGACCATCAATGAGCCGATTTGACTCATTCCAAAAACATAAGCAAATGCTCCTTGTACAACTAAAACAACAGTTGCTGGTCCCAGCAGAGTTGATGCCATCAATCCCATCTGTAAATTATTATCATCAATCATATATAAGAGCTTGTTATCAAATCACCCATAGTATCACGGCTGAGAATTTTAGTCAAAACGCTTTCACTTAAATTTGTTCAGTTCATGTTAATAAATTCTCACGAATTAGTCATGTTTCTACAAAGAAGATGCAATATACTTCTAACAATTTTAGTTTATCCGATTCAGAACTAGAATTTATTTTATGTATCAAAATTGTAAATTTTGTATTAAATAGACACCGTATGTTCCAGTTCTCGCAAATTCTGTTAAGCTTATATATCCGTGACCGATAAACACTGCTCTGAAAATACTATATATAAATAATATATGTTTACATATTAAAGCTATATACCTCAATGTCAAATCAATTAAATTTTAAAAAAACGTGTGAAGAAACCGCATTGAGATACCTGATATGCAATGTAAAATCGGGAAATATAATTGTTGTTTCGTATTGTCAATTTTGAGTCCATCAAAATATCAAAAACGTTTGCCATTGTGGATGGTCCCCAGCGTCTAAAAAATGATTGCAATTTATGTGAACTTTTGAATTCCTCACTTAAACTTTTCCAAATTGAACAGTAAGATGCTCATTATCAGTGAAAAAATTATCGGCGATATAAATGGATGGCATCTTTAATCAATGTGAACAAACGCTTGAAGTTAGGAACTGGATCCCTAATGCATGACGATTTCGAGTTATGCTGCTTCTGTGAAATTCAAATTTTAAGGAACACGATGTTTCATCAAGGATGACTACAGGATGGAAATTTCGAACCATCGCCTCGCTCGGGTTAGCCATACAAACAAATGAAATATGATCTTCCGAATCAATAGGATGAGACACACATCAAATATGAGAAATTCACTATAACTGAAACAAGTTGATAGTCTAGGTTTATTTTTCAAAAACATCGTTTATAAGATTTAATTGTGATTTGACCTTCTCTGGTTGTAAAATTCTTTGAATTCTTCAGGAGCATAAGTGTATGAATCCGAAATAGCAGCATATTCTATCCTCCAGCCTCGTTTCAGCAAAAGTGTACAGAGCCATCTGTCCTCTCCTGTAATTTACAACATAGAGGTTCGTTTTAGATTAATTGCTTGACGAAAATACTACCAGTGTGTTTAGTTGTAAATCCGACAATGAAGCTTATGGGAAAATTCTAGATTAATAGATAGGCGTTAAAATTAATTACATTCGGACTAATCAGTTAGAATAAATTTGCACTAAAAGGCATTGCGTTGATAGACCTCCCGTTTTGGTACGGGTTGAAATAGTTGCACGTAATACAAACCTTGATCCCATTGAATATAATGTGTTGCTTCTGTTGCTCTTGTAGTGTATCTATGAACGACATTTACATCCATCAAAGCTTCTCCACGGAATAAGCTGAAACATCCAGGACTACATAAAACACATCCGATGACATGCTCTGCTGATTTTTGAAGCCAATGTCCCACGGCGTATTCAAACTTCTGAAACCATACGACCGGTCCATTACCTGAATAGAATGCTTGTGTGTTATTTTTAATTTATGTAATCTAGTCGAATACACAACTGGTTTATAATTATTTTTTATGTATAAATAATACGCCACGGAGGAGACTTTTGTTGTACCTGCAAATTTGCAATACCGAGTTCATGAAACCGGAAAGTAAAATGAAAAAAAAATAACATTGGTCGATTATTCCATCCATCACAATACCACTCTGCTCATAAAATCAAATATTAAATATCTATACTGAGCAGGCTTTATAGAATAGCACAGCAGTTTCTTTGTTCGGTGAGATAGTTCACTACCATCATAAATTACATATACAGTACTATGAGTTCCAGTTATAGATAATCAACACAACAGCAACATTATTGCATATTGGAACTATTATATATCAAACCAAAAAATTTCCAATTTTAATGAAGAATTGTTCGATTATTCAATAAAAATTATTTTGTCATAATGTTGCTGGGTAATCGGTGTTTTTACAAACTTTGTCAAATTTACTGTCGGAAAATAATATTTCAAGTAACCTATTGGATGAATTCTACCACAAGCTGCGCCAACTTCTGGATTTTTTTTCATTCGATCGAGTAAATAAATCAACGATTTTGGTTGAAAGTCGACATCGCCATCCAATGCTAACAAAAATACATCATCTTTGCTGTAAGCCTTCTTTGTTTCTTGTAGATAACCAAGGATGTAATACATGTACATACATTGTGACCAACGTTTTCGATTTCTACAAATTACAATATAAATTATTCGATTTAAAGATATATATCAGAATAGTGTCTTGTTAACCACGTCGTGTCACAACTCACAAGGTGTTGAGATATGATGAGTTCATTGTTCCAGAATGTTGATTTTTAAAATGACGTACGCTACTTAGTGGGATTGTACTTTCATAATGTACTTCGAACTGAATGATTAACTAACTACACATTGCTTCTTCCCTCATTCATGCGCTCACTTTACGTGATGTAAACACATAAACTGATCTGTTTACACACCTTATCTTGTCGTTGTCTTTCAGGTGAATGTGAAATAGATTACCATACTCCAACACGAATTCGATTCTGCCACCGTATGGAGTTGGATAAATGACAGGTTCCAATTTGCTTTTATTTTTACCCGTTTCCGAACTTTTAAAAATGTCTGAATGCGGATTCACTTTTCTACAAATCAAACAAAAATTATATTTTCATTGATACCTTTAAGTGATTGACACTCGTGACACATTGTTAAATTTAGAAATTATTTTTGTTTTAAGAATATAAATTATTGATCTATTGAATTTTGTATTAAATATTCATCGGAGTCATAACAATCTACTTTACAGTAATTAGAAAAAGAGAAAGTCAACAAAGTCTGAACTGATTTCTAGGAATCGAAAACCGCTTCACAATGTTAATTGATTTAATATTGGTACAGTCAACATTACTAGCTAAGAAGCTTTTCGATAAAACAGATAGATTGATTGACAAGACGTTAATCGACACAAAATGAAAGTTTTGCGAATCACCTACGGTTTCTTATTTGACCGGAAATGGTCCAAATCTTGAATGAATTCAGTCATTTTTCATATATTTGGAGTAAGCAAAAAAGAAGCAATATTTTCGGGAAGACGAAAACTTGTACCTGAAGTTTCCGGAATGTTAATTCGAATAATAATTCGTTTTATACACTTAATTATGATTAAGTAGAACTTACTTGGCAGCTACAGATATCAAGTTCACAAGCATGTGGACAAATTTATTTGGTACAAGTCGTACTTCATATTCGTCAGAATCTTCATCGACTTTTTTCTTTGCCCATTCCATCGCATCGTCAAATAGGACATGAACCTTTTGAAAGTTCAATAAATAGCAGCTTAAGCGCTATTTCCTATTGGTCTGCACATTTGGTATAAGTATAATTATTAGCTAGTTAAAAAACATCCAGCTCATTTTGTATGGACATTTCCGAATTGTTTACCTTACTCGTCATCCATAAGTTCCTAAAAATTCACCCGTGGCTTTTTGAAAGCGTATGTTGACGTTCTATTCTGCTACATGACGCTATAAAGCAATATCGCCCGAAAGTGTTGTTTTATTTCTGCTTTTACTTACTTGAAAGTTGAAGTAATCATCGTGTTTTTTGTCTGTTGTTCCTTGGTGTTTATCTAGCCTGAAAATGCAAAAATTCACCCGTTAGGGTGCCTCTACGTGTAAGGTTGGTCACACTTGGCACAAACCCCGATCTTCGAAGCCAAGTGTTCATATTTGTCAGAGATTTGCCACAGACGTATACACCAAATGTTCACGCATGTAAATTACCAAACGTAGATTCCAAACGATAGGCGATACATAAATCTCAAATTGCAGATTCATAAGCGACGGCTGTGGATCCTGCTGCAGACAATAACACTGGCATATTTTAGATGACACTTCCATGCTTATCGTTTAGTCGTGTCATCAATCTCATAACAATGTTCCCGAGCATAAATATAAGTGTTAATGAAGTTGTCTTCTTGCGTCCTGGTTTTTAAACAAAGTACAGTAAACGTTACCTCATAATACTTGTAAGAAGTTGTGTCATTTCTTGCTCCGTTTCATGCCACATAGTGGCACACAAAAACACTTGGGGTATGTACGTCCTTGGATTGTACATTGTATTTCGTCGTTTCTTCTTTTTCTGTGAGGATTTCCTGTATTGCAGCATAATTTTGGCATGAAAGTTTAAGTATATAAACTCAATAGAATAATTTGTAGATCTTACTGTTTATAACTCACCTAGACCAGTCGTCCCGGTCTTTGGTATCTTTCATAACTTCGCTTTTCACACGATCTCTGTAGATGTCTATGTATTGTCGCCTGTTCAACATAAGTTCTTCATTTATCAATGGTCCGCCATAGATGGGTTTTACAAACAGAGCTTCCGTTCTAAAAATTAATAGTCAAAATGTTCAAGGAGTCTTGCAAAAATACAGCAAAAACTATAGCTCAGTACAGTCCCAAGATATTCCTGAAAAACACATCTCGACTTGCTTCAATGACTCAATATTTGCTTCGTTTTGATTGCACCTTGCATTCAGGCAAAGCACCAAGTAGCCTGCCTAATCAGTCATTAGTAACACTCAAGAGTCATCTGGTATTATACCATGTGTGGGCTGACCAGTAGTTAAACTCGACGTCTCAAATCTGTCATATATATTTATGTATATTCCAACTATGCCAACGGACGACATGATACTATGAACGTATAAACCAATATACGAGCGAACCAAATTACGAATCATTGCACGATATTGGTTTTCTGTGTAAATTGACCCCAGTTGATTAATTCCAATTGAATATCACTTCATTATTATAGAATACAACTTGTCAAAATTCAAATTTTTGTCGAGTATTTCTGTTAGAGTCAAAACAAATAAAAATAAACCTTTTCTAACCTTTCCATTTTGACCAACTGCTTACGAAACTTCTCTTCCCACATGAAAAATGTTAGGAAAAATAGAGAAAATGAACCGACAAACAATCCCACGACGACAATTAGAACAATTTTCCACGATTCGTCCAAATTCTGGAGTGTTGTTTTCCATCCTATATAGTCGTTGAGGGGAGCGTGTTTCACGGCTGAAAATAAATCTAGGAATTTTGCGGTTTCTGCAATAATTACTGAATAGCAAATTTTTTTAAACTATTTTAAAAGAAACCAAAACTAGGACAAAAAATTCAGTTGTTTTTCAATCGAACTTATATATATATATATATCATAATATATACTATGCTGTTCTTCCGAGACAGAATATTCACTATATATATGCATATTATATTTCATTTTTTTATAATTATATAACTTACGCAGAAAAAAATAATTCATCAAAGTTATTCCATATTTGGCACCATACATAGTATATACAGAGGTTAATAAACTCATTATTGGAGTCACCAACACAAGTGGACACGAATATCCCAGAATTTGGGCACGAGTCTGACAAGCGACTCGACCGAAGAAAAATGCCAACAACGCACAAATACAATGCGTCAATACGCCATACCACATTGGGTTTATGATTCTGAAATGTAAAATAGAGAAAATTGGTAATTCTAGCTCACTTGTCAACGTTATATTGTAAATTTGGCAATAAATTAATTTACGGAACTTATAAGCATCGGCTGTAAACACGTTCAAATTAGGTACAAACACGTACAAAAAATCGAAATCGCTCGGTCCAAGAGTTATGTTCAACGACAAAATTCACAGCAATTCAGCAAAACGATCCATATGTACATTTAATGTCCAAAATTAGGGAAAATTATACAGAAGATGGAAAGTATATTTATTTGTTAGGAGTACCCATCATTGAGGTGTGTACACTAGAGTGCGCATAGATACAAAAAGTGTTCTCCCGAAGTATGTGAACCAAGTTGGCGGACACCGGATCGTAGTATGTGTACGAGATTAGGGTTAGTCCATAATTCTAAGTACATATACCTCGGGAGTCACTTGGCTAGTCACCGAACTCGTAATAGAGAAAACATAAGGAAAATCGGAATGAAATTATACTACGTTCCGGTGTCCGCCATCTTGGTTCACATACTTCGGGAGTACTCAAAAAGTAACAAACTGAAGACCCACAGTTAGATATTGGATTTGTTTCTCCAGCTTATTCGCCTTTTGAATCGGGTCATAAGTAAAGGATATCTTTTCTTCGAGAAAATGAAGATGGTAAAACGGACACGCTAGTTAGTTACTGGAGGGACACGGTATGAGGCAAATTTGATTAGTCACGTCTGCAAGTGGCAATATTTCATACAGGTAGCCTATACAGAGACGGCCTTAGCTATAGTAAGGCCCTAAGCAGAACAAATTGTTCGGGGACTAGTTTGGGTACAGATAGGAATAATAAGCAAAAATTAAGATTACGTAATATATATAATTCGTCTTTACATTGGTTTTTAACCAAGTTAAAAATCACGATTAAAACAAGATAGCAATGCTCAAATATAGGTCCACGAAAGCCAACACGGATTTTTTTTACCACAATTCCCATCAAAATCATTTCTTGAACAAAGCTGGAATTGTAGAACGGGTACGGCAGCGTACCAGTATATATATGTATCAGGGTACCGGTACCTGGACTGTCCTATCAAACATTTTACAGTACCGGTACGTAGACTACCGTAACCGCCAAAGAACTTTCGATAAGGACAAGAACCGTTACAAGCAATTTTTATTTGTGTTGACGTCACCATCACCACATAAATAAATCGTCAAATAAAAAACGAGTCCCCCAGAACTCACAGAAAGTTTTGAAATAAATAAAGGTAATAGTCTATCGACAACAACAGTCTTCACCCACGTAAAATTCAATCAGTCAAACTAATTGGTGCAGTAGTTAATGAGAAAAGCGATTTTTCTACAACAAGAAAAAAAGTACAAAATGACAAAACGATCCGTAGTTCCACTTTGTGTCCAATAAATTTATCTTGCTTGGTGCACTGGCTGTATAGCGAAGTCGGTCTATATTCGTGGATTGTCGTTCTCACGTTATTCTTGATTAGTTTGAGCAAGAATATCTTTTGGGATGGGCAGAATGGGTCTCCGGTATCAGAAAAAAACTTTTCATGGCGATATATGTAAATAATTTATCATGGAAAGTGTGTCTTATCCATAGAGTGCTTACATTAAATCAAGTAATAAGGACAGTTTAAGTGAAAACTAAGCATTAATGAAGTTACCTCAAGCAACTAAGTCTTGCTGGATAATCCTTGAAATGAAATTTTGTTGCGTGAGTTCGAAATACAACTGCTTTGTTCCCATTGATTACAAAATGAATGATGAAGCAGAAAAATACTGAAACATTAGAAAACAAAAAACGTTGTGATAACCAAAACACTATGAACATGCAATTATCATCATTTTCTGTGAGCTATCATATTTTTATTGTTTTTTATGTCAGCCCAACACTGTTTCACAACACAATATACAAAGGAATTTCAGCCTTAACATCATGATAAGTTAAAATAAGCTTTTTACTTGACTAACTGTTGATATATATATATGAAGAATTATATCTATATTATGTTTCAGTATAGTTCTCACCTATAAAACCAATTCTGACGACCGAGTAAATGATAGAAGTTTTGAATCGCGTTTGATCGCAAGTTTTTTGGATGTTTAATAAAGGAAGCAGATATTTTTCCCCTTCGTGTTCTTTCGTGACTTTTTCAACATTTTCTGGTTTCTTTTCTCCCGTGTCGTCCCCTTTTCTTTGGTGATCACCTGATTTCTTTGTTTGTTTTATTCCAAACAAATCCGAAGATACAAAATTTTCCCAGTAACGGAATGAGATTAGGAACAGTGCTATAAAATACAAAAATTCATGTAATATCCAATCTATCCCAGCAAGAACCATTGATGACACAATTTACAGTATCTCCGATTGTAAACGCAAAACTTTGGTCATGTAATATACATAAAATTAATCAAAACAAATATGGACTTAAAAACACGTTATCAACATCAAATTTAAAAACTGTAGTCGTTTTATTGCTTTATAATTGTAATTGAAAATAAAAGTTTGTGCTCACAACAAACAGCATATATCATAATACTCCAGTTTTGTGTGTCTCCATCATGCGGAACTTGATTGTAAATCTCCCAAGATAACAATACATATCCAGTAGGCTGTAGAATCTTAATGCAAAAATAAAACTAATAAGACTTGAGGTTGGTGCTACCCATTCTCGTATATATATCTGAGAAGGCAGCCATCTTGTTAACTCTTTGAACTCTGAATCCCCAGAACGATGCTACTCTCGCACCCTGACCTCCCACAGCGTCGCATCGATTCGACGCGTTAAAAAATTGTAATATCCCTAATTTTAAATCAAAATAACTTCTAAACCATTAGATATCAGATGGTCTGTAATATATCATATAAAAGCTTATCTAGTCTTTTATTTTTAACTGGCATTATTTTTCACGAGATGTTTTGATGAGATGTGTAAGCCTATTTGTAGCCCCATCTACTATTTTTTTGTATTTTGGTAATATTTAATACATTTCTTAGAAATGTATCATCAATATAAGTACAATTTTGAAAAGTATACAAAATTACCTTTCGGAGAATATACGTATGACTTTCTTAGCATACGCATAACTCATTTTATTGCAGAATTTGTACTATCGATTCAAATGGTTTGCGAACAAAATTTATCAACTATTTGACGCCAAGTTTGCGTAAGGACGCAAAGGGCGACGACGACATTGTCGTGATAACGTTCATGCGACGTATCGTGCGTAACTCTTTGCGTGAGGTATATTGCGCAATTGCACATCTGGTCGTTCACAGCTTGAGTGCAGATTGTGGCTTCATTGCATTAGTATCATATCCTCGGCCGCAGATAAAACCCTTTCAGACGAATTTTGATCGAACATAGTAAAATTGCTAGAATATAAAGGCCATTTTATATACGTTTACTATTTGGATATGGGACGAAAATGAATGGCCAAAACGAAATATTTGATCCTCATGAATTTATGAGGTTCCGCCGGAAACATCAAGGCTAATTATTCACCGTTGGATATCATGAAGATTGAATGAAAAAAAACTGATATCGGGTACACGGAAGACATGGTGGCACCAGTAGCTCACCTGGTCAGTGTTTTACATTTTGCAGCCTCATTAGATTTTCGAAATTACTGCATATACGCTACATTCCTGATATCGCTATATTTACAATGGATTTTAAACGAAAGCTTTGTCTAGATGAAATATTGGATAGTATTCATCTATCGGAAGAAGAAAATATGGCACAATAAAACTCAGCAATGGCGCTAAACAATGCATCCATCGATATGTTCCATCTTTCTGTTTTTAAAAATCCTTATTTTGGCTATTCGCATTTTTCATATCTTTATACAATTAAAACGGCAATAACACTGCGTATTGTGTGTTTTAGTCGAACCGATGTAATGCGTAAATTTCCCCGTGTATCGTTTACAAGTCGTAAGTCGCTTCACGAGTACGAACTTAAGTAAATGACGTTACGAGCATGCGAGGAAAAGTGTTTCTCGTATGAAACGTAAACGTGCTACGTGCCAACGTAATTGCTTAACGTCGCTGCGTAACGGCGTAAATGTGTTAGGTCGTTATTTACGTCACCTTGACGTCGCCTCGATCTTGCGACAAACAAAATCACGAATAAAAATGCTTCTAAACTTTGAATGGTGCAACATGGGTTCAATCTAATGGTATCACTGGAAAGCTATCTTCAAATTTTGTCGATAATGTACTAGGTTTAATCGAAAACAAATTTAAGTTTTGTCAATTAGATTTGAGCAATTTTCAGAAGTTTTTTATGCTTTTTAATTTTGCCAATTTTCATAAGATGATCACAATATTTTATCTCAATTTTAAAATTATACTTAGTCCTGTAGATTATCTTTCACACGATGTAAAACTTGTCTAAATATAATAAATGGTTCGCGAGATATGAGGTTTCAAAGTTGCATACCTCTTACGGGATGCGAAAGCCGCTAAACCGGCTTTCAGCGTCAGAAGACTTTCTCGGGAAAGCCGGTTTAGCGGCTTTCAGGGTTCAAAGAGTTAAGAATAATTTGCAGAATTTTACATTTACGAAAACGAAGAGAATATCATTTCAGAGTTCAAACTTTCAAAGAAAGTTGTTATTATTAGGCAACTATGGTATAGAACAGTGGTTCTCAACCTTTTTCAGTTCGCGGACCGGTAAAATTTCTAAATAAACGCTGTTCTAATAAAGTTTCTGCAAGGCGAAGTAGAGCCGTTTGAGCTGAATAATATTTTTCTGTTTGTTTGGCCCCATTTAACTATCAAACCTAGCTAAATTATAGGCCTACTGTCAAATTACGGAACGTGCGAACTGAGAATTTTTCAATCGGGTACCGTACTATGTAGGGTTGAAACCCGGGAAACCCCGGGTTTGGACTGTTTTTTTTTTTTTAATCCCGATTCCGCGATTATTTCCAAAAAATCCAGGGATTTTAAGACTTTGTTATCCACATATATAGATATTCTCACAAATTGTAGGATATACCATTTTATTTAATACTTATTTTGAAAAAAGTCATCCACGCTTACAGTTTGAGTCAGTCAGACTAAGTGGAATTATTGTGCGAATTTTACCGAGGAATTATTATTTGACTAGTAGAATTGCCATTATTGCCGACTTATTTAATCATAATTTGAACTCAAAATAGAATTCAGGATTTACGCAATGACTTTGCAGGGTTTTTATTTACTATTTAATACGAAAATAAAAAAAAACAGCCACAATAGAATAGTAAAATCAAGAAGGTCAACTATCGTCTTCAAAAATATTCGCATTCCGGCGTCAGAAATGATAATATTTTTAGCCCAAAATTAAGGCAGTTAATTTACAAACGGTGACAAAAAGATCAAAGCCGACCCAAAAGATAAACATCGGAATAAAATCCCGAATTCAACCCGATATTCGACGATTCGTTAAAATTATTCGATTCGATGGAAGTATACTATTTTATCCACCCGATCTGTAATCACGCCAGCAATCAGGCGAAACGCGTGGTAGTCCAAACAGTGATGCAATGAAACCTAATAAAACCTTCATAAATTTAGTAAATTGCACTACTTATTGACGATTATTTCATATCTCGAACACAAAAACGGTTATCTTTTTTCGGATAGTTTCTGATGATTTTAGAAATGGGAGAAACATATTATATTGTAACAAATATGAATTAAGTTGTGAAAAATTGACACTACATGTGATAATAATAAGGGCGTAACGTGGAACGGCGAGCAATACCTAAGCGCGTGATCGGCGGCGCGTTTGAAGGCCACGTATTACCCGTGCGGCCGCGCAACGTTTACAATTATATGTGGTGCTCCGAAGACGCTCTCGTTTACATTAATGCAAGAAAACAGCTGTAATATCGGCAACTATTAACCATTTGTTCGCGTTCGACTATCGCACTCTTTATAAGTAGAAAATGTTTGTGTTTTGTGATAGGTGTGCCGCGAATATTTAAAAAGCTAAATAGGGTGCCGCGATAAAAATAAAAAAAGGTTGCTAACCACTGCCCTAGATGCTCTAATATATCTGTGTCAATATTGCTTGAAATAAATACGTGATTTTATTGTCATGCAAGTTGTTTCAATGTTTTACTTAATCCCGAAAAATCCCGGGAATAAATACCGTTCAATACCGGGATTTCAAAAACTTGCTCCGAAATCCCAACCCTAGTACTATGTGCTATCAAACTCCTCCGTTATGACGTTAGACGCCGTTATGAGGTCATAGACTTAACAAACATCCAGCCGTTCAGGGCTTAAATGGGCAGAGGACCTCTCACCAAGTTCGGTTGTAAAAAATCATAAAATAAAATGACGTCAATACTTTGTATTTTGCAATTTGCTAATAATATATATATTTATATTGGAATATATTTGGCGGACCGGCGGTTGAGAACCACTGGTATAGAACGTGCTATGGAAGCACGTGAGTTCATATTGTAATAAAAATCACGTTCCCGTAAAAAAAGTCTGTTCTCGCAAGTCTACAGTAAATTTATTGCAAACTTCATTCTCCCAATCGCTTACCGCACACAACTAAAAAAAAAAACGCTTGGATATTCCCACAGAGTGCATCCAACGCATATTCAAAGATGAGCCATTCTTTCTATCGCATACTTTCAAATGACAAATTGAGTTTTTCTGTTTCTTACCAATGTTATAATGCTAAATATCAAACTTCTTTTTCGGTCATCCTGATTTTGAACCGGCTCTTCCTTTTGTTTATTCTAAAGTGAAGGATTTTAAAAATTGATTGAAACATCGCAATAAGTATACATATATGTAGTTTATCGCAATATCGTTGCGATATATAATATTAATAATTAAATGTTCCGGGAAGATTTCATCATATAAAGGAAGAAATAACCATTCCCATTTTCAAACTAGACTTACCTTCTTCCCTCTCTTCCCAATGTATTTTTTGAAAGATTGATATTTTGCATGAGCATGGATTACACTTGGTATAAAAGCTATGAGTGAGAACATCAAAGTTGCCAGAGTTGCATCAATGCTTGGAACAACTTTCACTACTAGAAAAGTCAATCCAACAGCATTAAATATTTCAGGTATCATTCCCTGGAAATAAATATATATATAAATGGATGAATATATATCTAACTTCTGCATTTATTTCATTTTCTTTTTCACATTCAATGCAAAATTTATTTGTTCCCATTCTTGAATAATGCGACTAAAAAATACTGCCAAATTATCGAAAACTTTGCATAAATTATATCACCGTTTGGCTTTGAATCTGAATTTAAATATAATCATTGAACACCAAGTGTTCAAGACCTATGTTCTAGTGTTCTAGTATATTATAATATGTTGTTGTTTTTATTGTTGGTAATTTTCTTCTTGTTGTTGTATGAATTTCATTTCGACATACGTGCCCATATATTTGAGCATTGTTCACTTGTTATTGTGATGATTTGAATTACAAAAATTTCCACTGACTTAATCCTTGTGAAGGTTCGGAATAAAGAATCTTGTTTAAATGATGAACTCTCACCGCTATACAGAATCTCCAATTCATTTCGGCCTTTTCGTTTTTCATGATAAGCCTGTATATGCTATAAACAAACGTAAGAACATCGGGAAAGCAGAGACAAACCATCAACATTAACATTGCATGGTATCGTATAAAATATGGCTGATTATCAACTTTGTCACAAGCAGTTTCCTTGCTGTAGTCTTGAGAATAATAGTTTGCTATTACGAGCAAAGATGACTGAAAAGAACAAGGTATACATACCATTATGATCAGTTCAAAGCTCTCCTCGAATACCAAACAACCAAGAAGGAAGTGAACGAGAATGATTTATTTGTAAAAATGACGACTGCTAGAAGAAAAATCAAAAAATATAATGAAAAATAAAGAATAAGAGACAAAATCCAACCTTGCTGCAGATTGATGCAAGTAACAGAGTTCCACCAAATATAAACACAGAGAAATACTTGGCAACTTTGGTGAAAAAATTGAACATTTGTTCATCCTTTTCAGAAAGATCCTCAGAAGGAAAGGATTTAAATTGATCCCAAGGATTTTCTTCTTTTTCTGATCTGCAAAATAGTTTCAGCTCTGAAATCAAATTTATTGGTATGAATAGACATTTGATTTTGCAAATGTATAAATAACTAATGAGGTAAATTAAAACATATTAAAAGCATATACTTGTTGCGTTAATTTGAGCTATTTATTCAAATTAAATCACAAATTAATATGAGAAGATGTACCAGCAGCTAAAGTATACAAACTTCTGCGTTTTTGATTCAGCTGAATTCGAATCATCGCCAAAAGCTGCTGTTAAAACGTCATCCATGTTTTGTTCACGTTTGATAACTTGAGACATGCCCCCATTTTCTGCCCAATCCTTATTTTGCAATTCCGATTCTTGATTGTCATCCTTGCCCGGAAACGTGTAATGAGCTCCTGGTGAGAAACAAAGCAATAAATATTTGATATTCACTATGGGACACCTTTGACCCAAACAAGATAAGCAGGCGCTGTTATAGGGTTAATATCCATTTACCATGCAACGCCAGAGTTAAAAAATTTGAAAAGAATAAAAATGAAATTTACCATTCTATATCATTCAGTCGCTCCACAGCGGGGAACAAATAGTCATTGTGTACTATGGGGTTCGAAATAATTTATGAAAATATGAATATTAGAATATTATTTTTATGTGACAAAAATTGTTTTGTGAACCTAAAAATGCGTCAAAGCGTTAAAGTTGAGAATCGTATCAATCCATTATTTTTTTTTATAAAAATAAAAAAAATTGAACTAACGTCGACAATAATTTTATGCTATATCAGACCAGGCAGAATAAACATTTATATATATATATATATATGTATATATACACATTCATACTCAAACTCAAAACTAGCGCACATGTCACGTCCAAAATGAAAACTAGGAACTTTTTACATTTTGTTATAAATGAATAACAGAAAAATCACCAAAGAGGTGATAGTCTAATCTTTTGACTCTGTCGTCAGTAGATAGTTTGAAACATCTATCACACGAGTAGGTATTTTTTGTTTGAAAAAGTTTTGATATCCCATTGAAATTTACTATGCAATCACAAACTTACTTTTGCCATTTGCCCAAAGTTTTTATTTATCCCAGAGCGATTTATATCATTAATTGATTTATTCGCCAGCACCATCGCGCAAAAAGTTATCTTATGTTAATAACTACTATTGTTTACCTTGTGTGCTCCCCCCATCTTTGTCGAGCGAATCTCTATGTTTTTCAAAAGGTTCGTCGTCTATTGCAAAACGTGGTTTCTTTTTTGAAAAATGTTTTCCGGGTGGTTTCAAACTGCTTTTGATGTGCGTACTACCAAGATGAAGCTTTGCTGAATCCCAAAGAGATTTGACTTCAGCACCTATAACTTCCGTAATTTCGCCAGCCTCTTCAGATTCAGCACTGAAGTAGTGATATTCCGCAATGTGACCCAGAGTTATTCGATGTTGAGATGGGTCGAGAATTTTTGGATGGATGGACACAATATTATCCCCAATCGAACTTATGATAACAATGATGCATTTGAGACAACTTGCCGCAGCCTTAATAAAAAAAAAATTCTATTTTGTCGTGAAATTTTTATTAATTAATGAATGGATGTAAAAAAACAGTAATACAATTATTCTTCATTGATCCAATCTCAAATGCAATAAAAATCATAACAAACTCGCTTAAATATTTATATTAAAAAAATATTCAGAGATTTTGCTCAAAGCAAGCTCGCATGTACTGAGAGGTAATGGAGACTCATTTTATCTAAATTTCAGGGTTGCACATCAATACCTCAGTCGGGCCTAATAATGTCGTGCCAAGATCTTCAGTAGTATGGCGTTGCGTTACCTGTATTAGAATATGGTCTACCCATTCTGCGTCAAGTCTCATGCGTGATAGGTAGTCTTCTCCAGACTCGTTGTTGAGAAAATTTTTCCATGATTCACCATGATTGGAGCCAATAGCATCATTTTGTTCCAAATATTCCACAGAGGCAAGTCGAAGCTCCTCGTGGGTGCATTGCTTTTCTGGAAACTTTAGTTCCAGTTGACGAACAACAGCGTGAAAGAAGCAGTTACCATCTACGGAAACAGAGAAACGGCGAAATTTCAATTTTCCTAGCTTATCGTCCAATGCTTGGATTTCTGCATAGTTCGGTTGTTTGAATTTGGACATTATTCACAACTCTAAATCATACTGTAAAAAGTAAACAATCGAAGTATGCAATTTTTCAAAAATGCCGTTTCTATAAGCTAAATGTTTTTAGTCGGAAAACCATGCAACCGCAATATCGTTGATTATTAAGTGTCCTCAGCTATGACACCACGCTTTTATTATTACAGTTCGTTACATTTATTACCGTACTTTTCAGAGTGATTGTGTTAGTTAATTTAGTTCAAAGGATGCTATATTTAAACTTAAAGCTAATAACTAAAGATGCCCAACTATTCAATAGCTGTGTTTCGAAATTAGGTCGTGCAGTCCGTACGACTGTTAACTAAACCCATAATGTATTGAAATACAACGTTGCATAATGCTTTTAAACTTCGAATAAACTGCGTTTCATTAGCGAGGAGGCGAGGCAAACAATGTCTAACCGGTAAGCGATATAATTATTAACCAAAAAGATTTTTCCGAAGAATTCATCTTGTCCTTATCTTCAAAGATAAATAAAGAATGTAGACATTTCTTCGTCAATTGTTCTGTTCCCATAGCTACTTCAGACACCGTCATTTTGTTTGAATATCCGGAGTATTTGTAATATATATAAGAACGTGAGTATGACATATGAGTAGGGTTTTGTTCGCTTTCTCGATTCTATAAACAGTTTTTTTTTATTTTTTTTTATCAATTATTTTATCATCTTTTATGGGGTCAAAATAAATCCATACTTATACACATTTTATTTAATGCACTCATAGGTGTCACATCCATTTGCCATGCACATGATCTTGTTGACATGTAAATTTTCTGTTGGGACATGGCTCCAATATAACAAATGTTTATATGAGTTAATCAATTTGGGTCGGGTTTAAACAACGAGATGCCCCAAGACCAAGCATTTCCATTTGCGAGTCCCCTCCACACATACAAGCTCCCATTAGATTCCTTATGACGTCAGGGTGTCATATTACATGAATAAAAGTTTGCTAAGTCGTTCAACTGGTATCGTGTGACCGTAAATATATAGGTGTGACTAATGAATCCAATTTAGTAAATACATACCAGTGTAACAACAAAATCTCATTTCTATATTTATATATATATATTTAACATAGTATGTTAAATATGTCTGGACTCAAAATCAACTCGCACAAGATTAGCGCTCTTATAATATAGGAATAATTCTAAGCGCTTAAAACAACGTTTTCTAAACAATGTATTTAATCTTTGCATGTTGATAAATAAACCTAGCGTTTTAATCTAAAACGATTATGCTTACGTGACAAGATGTTGATTTTTTTCAAATATTCTCTCAAGTGGATGTGCAAAAAATTCTAATATATATATATATATTGCTTCAAATATTACTATGGAACAATACCGTGCTGCAGAGCAAGCATGTATTAATAAACTACAAGACTACTATTGTACACAATTTTATTATTTCGGATGACGATGCGTCGATGAGAATATCACGAGGGTTTCATTTTTATTATCAATACCAATTAGGAAAATTTCGTTTCGTTGTAGAATTCGTTAAATTGAAGAACAAAGAGACTGTTTTTTCAAAAATTATGGCCCTATTCAACGATTCAGGAATCCGCGTTAACCTAAAATGTTTCTCGTAGTCACTTAGATTGACTAAAACAGCTGAGATATCATATCGGGGAACGTTCTCGGTGCTTTTCTCATTCGTGGCCATGCCTGGAGTCTCTGGACTCAGGAACAAATAAATTTTTTTTTTCTAATATATATAATAATATATATATATGGAACATTCAATGTGAAATGTTTACCCAATAATATCGCAATTAATTAACACCGGCGCGTTTATTGAAAACTGAAGACTTTGTGACGTATTTCCATTTCGCCCGCCTTGTGTAATTAAGATAAAGGTGGCTGAACTGTAGACAGATATGCAACAACGTAGGTAAATATTAACGTAGGAGCTAGAAAAGTTGCACCTCAGGCGGGTTAGAGATTTACCACAAAGTGATCGTAACAGTCTCCACCTGGGCTAAATATAGTTCAATATCTTTTGCATATATCTGGATGTTAAACAGAACCTGCTTTGTATATTACTCCTTTTTACAGTCATTATAGCAGTGTTTCCCAACCCGAGTCCGCGGCCTCAAATGAGTCCGCAGAGCGTTTGAATGAGTCCTCAACGAGCCACACCGTTTTAGAAGTTATGTAGTGGTATATTTTATGTATAGGTAACTGACCTTTTCAGTGTCGCAAAGTTCATTGCGGGGCAAAAACGTTTTTACCAGACTTAAGTACCAGCCAAGTTTACGTTAGTATTTACATAAAACATAAAAGGCAAGTTTATACGCATAAAAGTTATTTAGTAGTATATTTCATGTATGTCACTGAACTTTTTAGTGTCGCCAAATTCATTGCGGGGCGGAAACGTTTTTACTAGACTTAAGTACCAGCCAAGTTACGATTTACGTTAGTATTTACATAAAACACAAAAGGCAAGTTTATTCACATAAAATTAATCGAGTCAATATTTAGCGAGTAGGGCTGGTTAAAATATTCGAACACCAAACGCGACAGATACGACAGATAATAATCGGAATGAATTTATTTGAAAATTTTAGCTGCAAATTCCTTCCTATAATTTTTCTCGGCGAATCGTCGCCAGTGATCACATAATATATTACGAGTTTGCCAGAGCGAGCAGTTCTCGATGTCTCAATGATAGAGCACCCTCGCTATGGTTCTCATTGAAATTTATAAATGTGGATTATAAACTGACTCCGGTAAAATTCTGTTGTTTTTGATTTTATTGCCTCTTCATACACAATTGGGGTTTACAATTAACGCACAATGAGTCCGCAAAGATTTTCCCTGGTGAGAAAATAGTCCGCGACTAAAAAAGGTTGGGGAACACTGCATTATAGCAATATGCAACCCGATCCCCAGAGGTTTCAAGGAGTTGAAGTTGAAATTTTGACACTGAGATTGTTGTATAATGATCATTACTCACAACCTTTCTGCGATGAATGGATGGTATTACCAGTATTTTCGACCTACGTTGAACGAATCTGCGGCAGTGAGATCGAAGCAGATTCCACATATAGGGATGCCACTTTTGGATTCGCGAATCGGATCGATTCGAATTGCATCTTTTCCGAATCGATTCAAATCAGATAAACGCGATTGGGAAAAAAGAGCGATTCACCGAAAAAAAAATAATTGAACGTTTGGTAAATCGTTGTTTTCGGCGGTTTTAAATCTGCCGAATGCGTTTATGCGGCACTCCAAATAACACCACGAAACTGCTAGTTCAGTTTTCCACCGAATAGCCTAAGTTTCTATTATGCGCAAATTTGAATTGATCGTATACCTGAAAATTCGTGACAATTTTGATGGAAATTTTCAACAGCACACCTGCGCTGCGATTAAGTTATTGTACGCCCTGGCATGATTGGATAAAGAATCAGCTACCTGCGTCTAGTAGATAATATTTCATTTTGATTTAAATTTAATTCAAACTTTGTTCTGAGTGAAATATTTCGCGTACATTTGAAGAGAACTATCACTGAGTGAGTTCATCGGCCGGCAATGTTAATTGACAATCCTGTTTCTCATCCTAAAATATGTATTTATTTTGTTTGTGTTTGTCAGGCTTCCACTCGACTGGTGGTAAACGTAATCAGGGGGACATAATGTAATAGTACATACACGTCTTTTTTCAGCTGTTACAAAAAAGTAGTATTTACTTTTAATTTTGTTAGCGCGATTCAACGATTCAAGCGGAAATAAAACATTTCGGATTATTTCTAGCAAATGTCACAACGGACAGGTGGGAGTAAATAAGACTTGAGGAAAGCCAACTTGTGCACTGTTTTACATCAACACGCGCCAAATTTCATACCAGACCAAGCATGCTGTGCGAATGTCGTCTCACTCTAGCCCCAGCGACCATGTTTGATCGAGATAAAGCGTCGACCAATTATCGCTCGTCAGCGCGGCGTCCATTATGCACATTTGGACTTTCTGAATTACGAAATTAAACGTAGTCCACGATAATAATGAAGTCCGAGTTAGCCAATAACGCTGTTAGCCACAAATAATATTGTCCTAAAATTTATGAAAATTTTCGTTAGCAATCGTAGTCGGGTGAACGATTGATTTTCTCGAAATTAATTTAATTATTCTTGGGAATCATTTCCCTTTTATAGTAATTCAGATGCATTTAGAATGTTTTTGCAAATATTGTACTAAAATATTGAAGATGAAGAATCGGCCGGCCTTAATTTAATATAACAAGAAGTAAAATACCACAGTCACATATACTGGTGTGGGACTAGGGAAAACCGTGCTGTTACTGTGTTTATGACATAACAGTACAACTGTTCCCTGCTCATTTTCTCATATGAATTCCATCAAATTTCCTTAGTCCTGATACAGGTTTAACACAATAATAACTCAGTATTGTAAGACTTGGATAAGTTTTTAGATAAGAGATAGATAGATGAGCAACAGCAAGTTTTTCATCAATGCATTCATTGGTGATATCTATGACCTACATCTTTTTATAATGATGGAAATAAGTGTGACTCATTGACTGAAAAACCCTTATCATACTTGCTATATAGCGTATTCCATTTTCAGGTTTTACTTTTCTTCTTTGGGCTTTTTTGTGACATTGAGCAAACATGCGCATGCAATAAGAAAAAGCTCAATGGGATCAGATTCGGAAAGATTTAATTCGAAAATTTTTGATTCGACAAAAAATGTATTTAGAAGAGGCAACCCTATCCACAGATCGTGAGTACAGAAGGGCGGTTGTGCGGACGAGCAGGCCAGGCTGCCAGAGGCGTAGCTTAGGGGGGGCAGTGGGGTACATATGCCCCCGGGCGCCAAGGTACAGGGGCGCCAAAATGGGGCTGGCAAAAATTTCACAACAAAGGTAAAAAACGGTCACAAGCAAGATCGCACCGGCGGCAGACATCTAATCTTAGTACATGGCAAACTGCACACTTGGTCAGACCACTTAC